AAATATAAATTACTTCGTTATTATACATAAATTATTATAAAAAAATTGAATTAAAAAATTACACAAAAAATGAGAAATTTCAAATAGTTAATTTGATACTAATATCGATATATTTTTGTCAAATTTTTATGATATHTTCAAACATATATTTTATTCAAAAATAAAAACATTATCGCTTTCTCAAAATCACATAAAGTCATATTATAACATCGACGGAGATAAAGAATAAAATGAAATATTAAAATCACGATGTATCTCGTTGCATTGCGCAAGTACGCTTTTAGTTATTTAATAAATCATATGATATATATGCATTCTCTTATTTTCTTATTTCCGTTTAAACCAACTAATATACATAAATTATCACGAAAACCCAACCTCCCTATGTATTAATGGAGTGGGCTAAATGCACCCATATCTATTGCTAAGTGCATTCCTACTTATAATTTTTTCTTCACACACATCAATATCAATAATTAGGGGTCGTTTACCTAAATACTTATCCGATAAGCATTTACTGGTAGAAGTCAACACTATAATCTATTTTACCAGATAAGATTGTAGTATATTAAAACAATATCGTATGCAACAATTTACCCGGTTACCCAGGTAAGAGTCCTCACCAATCACTTATCGGGTAAGACTCTCTATCCCTATCATCGCTCTTACCGGGTAAGATTTTCAGCCCTTGTCATCTGCATCAGGTGAAGAAAGTTACCCGATCCATACTTACCGGGTAAGTATTTAGTAAACAGGCCCTTACTTTTGACATTTTTAATGCACAAATTAAATTGATTTTGACTTGTATAGAGCTGCAAATAACATTTTCCGTATTAATATGTAAATTATATAATAATCCATGTAAAAATGTCATACATTCCTTGTATTCTAAGGAACTCTTTTGGGAAAATGACCCCATCATTAATTCAACATCATAAATTCAACACCAAATCAAGCAAATTAACACTCCCTCTACATTTCAACCTTCTTCTTATATACATCATGTCATCCACAATTTTCAACCTCTCAACCTTCAAAACCCCTTCAAACCATGTTTCCTCTTCACCTCCACCATGCCCTTCAACATCTCTCACCTCCTCATCTATCTCATTCTTTGCTTCTCTCTCCTCTTTATCTACCATGAATTCTCCACCATGTCCATTGCCGCTAACATCCGCCGCCCTTCCACCAACCGCAAGATGCTATCATCCCAATTCGACTTCACCCCATTTCTCAAACACCACCACCACCACCACCACCGTCATCAAAACTTGTTGGAGCCAATTGGTGGTATAGATGGTGTCATTGATCCACGGTTTGGTGTTGAGAAACGACTTGTACCAACCGGACCAAACCCGTTGCATCACTAGAAGATGTGGTCGATATGCATGATTAACTATATTTATATCTATATATATATACTCCATGTTCTAGCTTGAACCTCTAGTTGCATTGTGTGGTCTAGTGTGTTTGAGTCTGTATAAACGGATTAATGAGAGAGAATTTTAGATTTTTAATATATTTGATAATGTTTTGGTTTGGTTGATGATGGAGAAAATTTGTAATAATGTTTATGTGAATGATTTTTAATTATTATTGATTGAAATAAACATGAGTAGTTACCACGGCACGGCACAATCATAAATTCTGCCAACTTGCCTATCAACCATGATTATTGTAATCAAACTCACATACCATTTTTTTAATGTAAGGATAAAAAAGAAGGGAGAAGTTATATATATATATATATATATATATATATATATATATATATAAGGTTGGGTTCACGTGAGACTAAGGGTTTTTCATGAGACCTGTAAGACCAATTTATGTTCATTGATCAACTTTATAAGCTAATGATCTAATGGTCTAAAGTTGCACGATGACAATTTTGTGATTATTGAGAAATCTCGTGGCAATTTTGTAATTATGAATGTTCAGATTGTAGATCTAATCCAAGGGTTGAGATTGGTCTTACGGGTCTTACGAAAAACTTTTGATCTCACATGATCTCAAACTCTCTCTCTCTCTCTCTCTATATATATATATATATATATATATATATATATCCTTTTTTGTAATCATACTTGTATATTTATAAAAAGGATTGGTTTTGTAAATCTTGATTTAGTTATGTTAATCTAAAAAGATAACTGTTAACTGATAAATTAGTTATGTCTTGTAAAAATAACTAATAAGCTAGATGAATATGTAAAATGATGTATAGAAAGTATAAGTAGCATTTAGGTTAAATACAAGGGCTGTAATCGAAGAAAAGTAGAAAATAAAACTCAATAAAGCAATAAGCTATCTAAAGTAGTTCTTCAAAAACATAGTTCATGGTTTACCAAACAAGATTAATCTAATAAGCTCAAAAATTAAATTCGCTTATGGTTGTCAAACATGTTTTCGCCCTATGCTATATAATAACCAAAACAAAGCAAAAAAGTGATATTTTTCAAGTTTCAGAGAACCATATTCTAGTGATGATGTAGTATGTTTTTGATGTCATGAGGGAAATTACTAAGGGGCTGTTTGTTTGGCTCTTAATGGTTACATTAAGAGCCAACCTCTTAATCGGTAAGAGGTTAAGAGTGTTTGGCAAAAAAGAAGAGGCTCTTAATGGTTACACAACCCCTCTTAACCATTTTGCATATGAGGCTTCACTCAACCATTCAGTGTCTTCTTTTTCCAATTTTGTCCTCCCCCACCTCACACGTCGCCGGTCTTCACAGCCCCTCCCCCACCTCACACGTCGCCGGTCTTCACAGCCCCTCCCCCACCTCACACGTCGCCGGTCTTCACAGCCCCTCCCCCACCTCACACGTCACCGGTCTTCACAGGCCCTCTCCCACCTCACACGTCGCCGGTCTTCACAGCCCCTCCCCCACCCTCACACGTCGCCGGTCTTCACAGCCCCTCCCCCACCCTTACTCGTCGCCGCTGCCGGTAAAGTCGGTGCCATCGTCGGAGCTTACGGGTTTGTCTACGCTTCCCATAGCACCGACTCTAAAAAAAACAGACGATGGCGACAGAATCAAGAAGTACCTCAATATTCTCGGCGTCATCAGTTTCTTGGGGATGGTGCTTACGTTTTTATTGCCGGAAACAAATGGCAAATCGCTGGAAGAATATCCGGCGAGAACGAGAAGGATTCTGAGCCGACGCCGACCGCAAACCGCAGATCTCGAAGTGGTCCTGTTAGATTGATCGATTAATTAAATAATGGGGTTGCCACAGAGGCATTGATTATGGGATTTCACGAACTAATTACGACTTTGTGTTCTTTGTGGCTGGCGTAGGTAACTTTGCTTTATGAATCACAGCCCCTCCCCCACCCTCACTCGTCGCCGGTCTTCACAGCCCCTCCCCCACCCTCACTCGTTGCCGGTCTTCACAACCCCACCCCACCCTACAGATTGAAGCCATCGATGAGGGCAAAGAGGGCATCGGTGAAGGTTAAAATGGAATAATGGGTTTTTTTAGATGAGGGTTAAAATGGTAATTTATTGTCATTCAAAAAACAGTTACCAAACAACATTATTTCATTCAGCACTTAACCATTATGACCCTCTTAACTATTCTGACCTCTTAACTATTCTGCACTAAATCATTCAGCAACTGCCAAACAGCCCCTAAACCTACCTACAAAAAGACTCTTTTTTTTAGGTTTGTAGCCTTAATGTTTAGCGTGATATTATAGAACAACAAATTTACACAGAATGTTACTAGAGATAACATAAAAACACGTGTTCAAAGGTTTTTAATTCATTAAAACTTGGTATAAATATAAAGTAGCAAACATATTATCAAATAACCATTTAAATAAATCGAAAATAAACTACACTAGCACATATTAGAACCTGATACATGTTCATGGTAAGACAACATTTTATATTGATTGCTTATAGAGTTGTTTGTGTGCTCAAATAGTTGTTTTGAGGCAAATTATCAAACAAGGTTTTATCATTTATTAAAAACTAAAAACAAACTAGAACATGAATGTGCAGCAACAAAATATAACTCTAAATTTCCTATCGTGACCCTTTTTGTCCCGACCATTGTAGCACGTGTGTCGCCCAGGGCATAAGGGGCAACTCTCTGTTGTATGAGTTTAGGGCTAGAAACTTGAGGATCAGGTAAAATGTGACGCTTGTATTGCTCTCCCACAACCCTGTTTTCCCAACTGGTCGAACCACTCAGCTTATGGTCGTGATCACCCATTTCTCTCAGTGGGACCAAGAATCATTATATGAGTCATGGGAGAGTTACAAGGACATGTTGAAGAAATGTCCACATCATGGACTTCAAGGTTGGGTAATCACCCAGACTTTCTTTAGTGGCCCGCATCCTAAGTATAAGAATGAAATTGCTGATGCAGCTGGAGCCACTTTAATAAACAAGACTTATGAAGAGGTCGTAGAACTAATTGAAAATCTATTCAAATATAGGCATGCCACTCCCATGTCCTTAGTCAGACGAATAGCGAATGTCCAAGAATCTGAAGAATTGAAAGCCATAAAGGCCCAGCTAGGCCCTATCATGAATCAGTTGAAGGGGACTACACTTTAATCATCATCCATACTGAACTGGACATACCATAAACATTTTCATCTCTTATGAGCCCCAACTTAATCAAGGATAGTTATGCAAAACATAAACAATCACCCTTGGAATGATCCGTTTTCGAACATGTATAATGAGGGATGGAAGAAGCATCACAACTTTGCCTAGAATCAACCACGGAATCCTCAAAAAGATACTATGGGACAACAACAACAGTTTGGTAATACTTTTTCCTCTTCTTCTTTTCAATCAAATAATATTTACCATCCACCAGGTTACCACCAATGGAAGTTCGAGAATGGACAAACTCAAGAGAAGAAAGCAAGATTAGAGGACATGTTGATGAAGTTTGTGACCAAAATGGACAATGTGGTTGGGGAACTGTCGTCATCAGTGGGAACATTATCATCTTACTGTTGGGACTGTAAAATCAACAACAAAGTTTGAAGTTGTATACTAAAATACATGAACTATTCATAACAAAGTTTGAAGTTGTATTGATTAAAAATTATCGTCAGTGTTATTATCACGACATCATAAATAACTTAAATTACCATTAAGCATAAATCATACAATATCTATTTACAATGTCACAGAAAACATCATAATAATGAATTTTGACCAAACCACAGGGACCATCATTGTAGTTCACTTTAATATTAAATAATTAAATACAAAGTTGATAAGTAGACGTCTTTTAGAAGCATTAAAAAATGGGGTAGGCTAAATGCACTCCTATATATTGCTAATTACATCCCTATCTACTAATTTCTTAAGTACTTTGAACTCTATATCTAAGGGATCTTTGTCGATTTGAAGTTTGTATTAATATATGATACATTTCTAGACTTTAGATTGATGCCTGATTTCCAGAGATCCTTGCTCAGGATTTAAGTATTCATCTTTTGGAAGCTAGAGATGAGTTTGGGAACTAGGTTTAACCTAATCTAGCAAAATGAGCTTCAAATGTACATTCCAAAATGTGTATTTTGGAGTCTCAAAGTGTTTTCCTTAAGATATATCAAATGTTGTTGATTACTTGATGAAATTGCATGTTATGCCATTTGTTTTTATAAAATCTTGAGAAGTACATATATTTGGGATTTCTAGACAATTTGATAATAAATCATAAAATGGATAGTGCACGCAGATTCTTCTTTCATTTGCAATTCCTTTCGGGTCGGAAACGTAGGCTGCTGGTGAAGTTGTGCCCCTTCTCCCTCTTCTTCCACTTTACAACCAGAATAAGGAACCTTAGATTTCACCCTGATGAAAAAAATGGGATTTAAGAGGCTAGAGAATCGGAATTGTATGGAATGTCCTACTCCTGCTCGAGCTTTACGATCAACCAATAACCTATTTTAGGAACATATGTGTTAGTGTATAAGGTGCTTAAACACAGAGCATTTGTGACTTATTATTTTATGTTGAATTTATTTGAATAGTCAAGTGAGTGGTGAAACTCATTGGTTTGATTTTAACTTAATTGAGTTTTGGGGACATTTGTTCGGTTAAAATTACTCTATGTTGAGCTTTGGATATGATGTACATTTATGACATATATATTCGAAAATTACATGTTTTGAGTGTGTTGGTCATTCAATCTGAAACATGTAATTTAGATTGCAATGGATCCATAGGCATAGGGTCATCCGGGGGGGAGGGGGATTATGGTGCGGGCTCTTAGAGTCGGACATCGGTCATTGACCATATGGCGTAATTTCTGAGTCAATTTGATGGTTTAAAATGGAATGGTTATTCCCGTATCGTAGCTAGAAATAGGAATTGGGTCATCGGGGGCATTGTGGTGTGGGCTCATGCAGTTGAACATGCCATTGACCATGTGGTGTAATTTTTAGTAAACAAGCATATTTAGGATCATCGGGGGCTCATGCATGGTATAGATTGTTGGTGGTTGAACTTGATGACAGTTGATCTATAGTGGGGCTCGTTAACATATGTATATGGCTTACTTTTATGTTTCCATCACATTCAATGGAATCGGGTATCCCGTCAATGAAAAGTGTGTTTTGGATTTGATGTTGTATCAATGTTTTTGATGTTGTTTTTGGGTATATAATGTACCCATGATTTGACGTTTTAGATATTATATATTATTTATATTTTGTTACTTTGGATACTTTAGTTTTATCCATGTTTCCAGTATTTGAATATCAAACTTTATATATGTTTTTGTGTAAGTATTGGTTTTGGTTTCTTATTACAATGAACGTTTCGATTATAGAGTTCTCATCACGAAAATAATGAGTTCTATAAAGATGTTGCTTTTATGATAAAGACATCTCATTTGAGAAATTATAATTTAAAAAAGCAATTTTTCAATTTTATCGTTTCATAATTATGATTGAAAACTGTTTGAACTCACTAGACTTTAAGACTAACATTTTTTCGTATCGACATGTACATCAGGTTCTTGTGGTGCTAGTTATATATTTGACGTATATTCATTAATTTATTAATTATAACCATTTTTAGTGTGTATAAGCAAATTATTTAAATTTGAATTTTTATATCTTATATAGCTATAATATATTTTTTATATATTAATTAATTTTAGTCATGTTATAAATAACGTGAGGCGTGACTTGGTAAGAAATCTCAATATCATATATAATATTATACATATAATCATATGTTTTCTACTATTACTCAAAGATTAGATGATAATAAACGATTTAAGTTAAGTTGTGTTTTTAAAAAAGCTAACAAATAAGACATCAGAAATATAAGTAAAATCAAATACTATGTTATAAAAACCGTGCATTATATCATCTTAACATGACATGAGACACAAGTCTTGAGCCACAACATATCATGACGGTTGTTGTGGAGAGCCTTTTCAAACAGTGATTTAGTAAATTACTTAAACTTATACCTTTATATCTTATCATCTAATATATTGTCGGACAATAAGTTTTTGAACTTATTTTAAATTTTCAATTAATTAAAACAAAAAATTTATGAAATTTATATTTCGGACAGTTACCACCTGTCCTAACTTGGGTAGGTCATACCACATGTATGCAGTGCAGTGCTACCCACCATTTGTTCATCAAATCCTCCAAAATTCCTCCCCAATTCAACTTAATCTCAAATGGCTTTCTGTAATCCTCCAACCCTTTTGCCTTCATCATCTTACCCACCGCCTCCGCCATTTTATTCTAACTTCAATCGTATTCTCGTCCGATCAATGCCGCCAAGGTTTCTCACCATAACAATGGCAAAAAGCCCAACAACACAGAGCGATGGTAATGATGGTTCCACTAAATTCGTCACGTTTTTGGGTAAAGGTGGTTCTGGTAAAACATTTTCCGCCATTTTTGCTGCTCAGGTTCGGTTTCCTACTTCATTATAATGTGATTTCTCATGTACTCTGCATTTGTTTCATAAATTAGAGTAGGGTTTTGGATTTGAATAGGTCAGATGAATGATATGAAAATTGTATTGTTCTTAATTGGGATTTTTGAAGGAAAACTTAGCGATTATGAAAACGAAATATGCCGAAAGATTACCAGTTCCTCCATTTTAGACTTTTTGAGGTCAAACATGTAACGTTATGACTTCAAAAGTGATATGAACTGCACATTTATAAGATTGGTATTGTCATATTGATCAAGGAATATGGCTATCGTGTTAAACTGTATGAAAATTCTCTGAAGGATGGTGTTTATATGCTTCGATTTTGAAAAGGAAGTAATTGTTGGATCCGGAAAACTTTGAATCAAGTCAAAATGCATCTCTAATTTCAAAATGTGGTTTGATCAGTTAATATTTTTGTTCGAAGATTCTTACAAGAAGTTTACTACTTTGTATTGGGGGATTGATTTCGCATATCACACACATTTGAACAAAGAATAGCTGCAGACATGATCTTATAGAGTTGCAATGTTAGCCAATTGGATAACGTTAAAGGAACGAAAATTTGAACACTTGTTGTACAATCTAAAAATGCTCCAATTACTTTCTGTGTACCATAAAATTGCAATGTTCGAGTCAAAGAACACATATTAGCAGCTTAATGGGACAGTTTATTAGGTCGGTTATGCATGACTGTTTGATAGTAACTTAATAGTATAGAAAGCGACTTACTCTCTAAGCTTCTAGAGGAGCTTTATGCAGAAAGTCAAGGTTTTTTTTTTCCATTCCTGGCCCTCCCAATTAAAAAACAATCACCTTCCATCTACGAAAAGACCCTCCCAATCTATACGGATAGATTAATCCATACGAATAGATTTATTTCTATAGGACTTGATGGAAAACCAACCAAGCAACCCTTTAGTTCTATATAGCCCGTGGCCTGTGTGATTGTTGGTTAGTTGTCTGACATGTCGTCCATGTCCATCAATGGAAGAAATAGTGGAAATCTTTTCTAAAGAAATTAACCGATCCCGCATATAATTTGTAGTGCTGGTAATGTGCAAATAAACAAGTTCATGGAAAGTTGGAAACGTTTCAAATGATACAAGACTTCCCTGAATGGAAATTGTTGCAGTTTTTATGGGATAGTAGTTTGTGGGTGTGACTGTAAAAAGTGTACCAATTCATCAACATGAAGAATAGTAGAAAGTTATACGGATTAAATAGGATGTGTTAATTAAGTTGTTTTCTCTACAGCATTATGCAATGGCTGGGCTTAAAACATGTTTGGTCATACATTCGCAAGATCCAACTGCGGATTATCTACTCGGCTGTAAGATCGGAACAACTCCTGTTACTTGCAATGATAATCTTTCAGCAGTTAGACTAGAAACCACAAAAGTACGTTATTCTTTCAAGTAATTGAGATTTCCCTTGTGCATTTTTTGACCATTGATCAAATGTGTTTGACAAATTAGATGATTCTTGAGCCGCTAAGTCAGTTAAAACAAGCCGATGCCCGTCTCAATCTTACACAAGGAGTCCTCGAAGGGGTGGGTACGTGACCATTATTATTTTCTCTGTATAAAAGCTTACCTGTGCATTCTTTTCTATGGAGTGATCGATTTTTTCAACCTATTAGGGCTGCTTGATTAGTACCGACCTTTCTTTGAACTGAACAAGCGAAATCATTATTGCAAAAACACCATTATAGCATTGATATTTGCAATAACCAACGATTTTGAATAAATTTGGAAATGTACGTCAAGGTTGGCACTTTTTTTTTCCAAAGACACTTGTTCTTGGACGATATAGTTTTTTTCTTTTTCATTTTTGCAGTACGGATGGTTTGTTTGTGGCAAAAAGCTAAGCACCATAATATGAAAGTCGATCACTCTAACCACAAGGGTTTAGCACGGTGGCAATCCCCTGGGTCAATAACAAGGGTAGTTCCTCTTACTCCCAACTTTGGTTCTCCAATTGGGTGCAAAAACCCTTGTGGTTATGACAACGTCCCATAGAGAGGACTTTGTCGGTTCGAGAACTGTGTGGTGGTAGGCCCAGACCATGTGGACTAATGGTGCCTTCGGGTTACTTATACCACTTTTAAGAAAAGTCCATCACTCTTTTTGCTATGATTGTAAAATTTATCTAGACGACATTTCATGGATTGTCGTGGAGTAGGTGATGGGAGAAGAACTCGGGGTGCTTCCTGGAATGGATACTATATTTTCAGCCATGGCACTTGAGAGGCTTGTGGGATTCTTGAAGAATAAAATTCAAAAGAATAACCCAAAAGATAACTTTGATATAGTTGTTTATGATGGTATCAGCACAGAAGAAACAATAAGGATGATAGGTGCAACTGGTAAATCAAGGTTTTGAATCTCTCTCTCTCTCTCTCTCTCTCTCTCTGTCTCTATATATACTCACACACATGCTCAAACATATATATATATATATATGATGATATATGATCACATATCTGTATCAGATTGTATTTGAAATATATGCGAAACTTGGCTGAAAAGACTGATATGGGAAGGTTGGCTGGCCCATCACTGTTGAGACTTGCAGATGAAGCCTTGAATGCAGGCACCAGTACTTCTGGATTCAATGGGCAACTTAGTGGAGAAATATGGGATAAATTAGATCAATTGTTAGAGGTATCACAATCTCATATCTTGATTTGCATATCATAACCTACTTCTCTGTATATCAATGTACAGGAGTCTTCGCGAACACAGTCTACTTACCCTTTGGGGTAAAGGTCAGATCTGCATACATCTTACCATCTGACCCTGCTGGTGGAATATACTGGGTTCGTTTGGTTTGGTGGGATACACTAGGTTCCTTTGTTTTGGACTTTTGGTTTGGTTTTTTGACATGAAAAGGATAATGGTGTCTAAAATGTTCGAAAAGTAACCATTTTAAGTTTCTGAAGTTTTCTTCGGTTTCATTTGATGCAGAATGGGTCGTCTTTTATTACTAATCCGCACTTATTTGGGTGCTACCTTGTGACGGATTTGAACAACCCAATATCTTTAAATTCCGCATTACGTTACTGGGGATGTGCTGTACAAGCTGGGGCGCTCATTTCTGGTGCATTCGGTGTAACACATTTAAGTTGCAGTGAAGAACATCTAGAAACTGCTAAGAGAACATTTTCCCCCTTACCTTTTGCTTCATATCCTCCTATTTCTTTTAAAACCCCATTGAATTGGGAGGATATCATGCACAATGGTCACAGTAATGATGCACGAGATCTTCTTAGCACGTCGAAAAGTGGTTCAAGTGGATACGTGCAGTCAGTGACATTCGATCCAGCGAACAAATCTATGACCCTTCTCATGCCTGGTTTTGACAAGTCCGAAATCAAATTATACCAAGTAAGTCGACCCATAAACTCGTCACTTTTTTTTCTAACCATGGATGTTCGGGTCGGTTTGCAACGCGCATCTTGACTAAAGCCTTGGGGCCTGAAGTTTACAATCAGGAAAATTCTTGTGGCCCTGTGAAAGACATGAACTGGTGGCCTATGGGGAGGAGGCCCCAAGGCCTAGCATTTATTAGCCGGTTGAGTTGGCCTCCACTAATTGCATGGGGTCCTCAAATAGGAAAATCTCTAGTGGCTCTGAGGAGACTCGAACCGGCAATCAATGGGGATGAGCCCCAAGACCTGGCCTTTATTTGCCATCTGAGCTAGCCGTCAAGGTTAACTTGTGTCACTTTCAAGTGTGTTTTGCATGAAAGTCACGGTTAGAATCCTACATTATCTTGTCGACGTTAATGCTTTTAGTTGTTTGTTTGACTATGAATCCTGCAGTATAGGGGAGGATCAGAGTTATTGATTGAGGCTGGGGATCAACGACGCGTCATTTGTTTACCATCTCAAATTCAAGGAAAGGTCGGTGGTGCCAAATTTATAGACCGCAAGCTTATCATCACCATGCGTAGCTAACATCCGTCTTTGCATGTAAGTTCTGTAAGGGGTCATTCCCAGTGATTGAAAGACATAAAATTTGTTGAACCGTGTGCGGATACTAGTTTGCAGGGTCCCCTAAACTAACTTGGTCAAGATACCGATCGATGTTATTAAAGAACGAAGTAGAACCACTTTTAACTCAAAAAACATGCATATGTACATGAGTTTTCGATATCGAATGAAACGCAAGGAATATGAATTCCACTAAGAAGTTAAGCACTTGGTGTCTGAGTACACGACCTTTGTTGCTGGAGTAGTTTGATGCTGTTTGGGTGAGATCGCGGTTGATATCACGATCCCACAAAGCATGGCCAACCCTAGCCCTAAACCGTTAACGATCATTGACTCGTTGCATCTCTTTAACACAACTCCCTTTGTTTGCAAGAAAGTCAACTTCTCTAGAAGCCCGGTTTCAGCCGTCACTACTGCTAATCCATATGTATAGAGACCGAGAAAAACGTGCCACGGCAAAACTCGTATTCGGGTCATTCGCACTTCCCCTTTATGCCAAAAGCTTAAAAAACCCATCAACCACTACATTGACAACAATAAAAAGATTAATACATATATATATATGAACGAATGGCAAGCTGTTTGTTGTTAAACTAGCTGTTGATTAATAAACTAACAGACAGTCTAAAATAAGTTGAAAAAGCTCAAGAAATAAGCCGGTTTATGTTTAACAAACATGGTCTTAATTAGTTTTCCATTAAAGCGTTAAATAATTTTAGTTTTTTGTCTTAATTTAATAAGCAATGATTATAAAGGAATAAATGTAGAAATCTATTCAACCATGTTATTTTAGATAAGTTCTAATAAAAGAAAAAACAAATAATAAATACATAATAAAAAGGTTTTCCAATTTCCATAAACAGAAGCGACAATGGAGTGTTGGATCACTTGAGGTTGAGGAGAGGGGACCATATATGCAATACCTTCACCAAATTATTTTTCTATTATTTTATGCCACTTTCTTCCAAAAACACAATTAAATATTTAATTAAATAAAATATATGATTATATACAATTGATTTATCAACCTTTTTTTTTATTTAAAAAAGTATGAATTATTTTCCAACTTTTATTTTAGCTTTAAATTTGAAACCTTTTTTTAATCAATTTGAAGTAAAGACATGTTCAACAGTCTGACCTCTTTTCACATGTACAATTCTAACAATTTAATGACTGAACATGTAATAAAATATAAATATTTAATTGATAACAAAAGATGTTCATTTAAAACAGCATTAACCATCGTTTATCGAATAAATATTTATACTTTATTATATTTTCAGTCATTAAAATAGATTATTGATAACCGATAAAATTGTGAGTAATTAGAAATAAATGGCATTATTTGTGGATAAACATTTGATGGTTATCGGATGAAAACACATACCTGGGCTCCAAATAGAGAGACACAGAAGAGACCCAACCAAGAATGCAAGCTATAGAAATTGGCAACAACTCCATCTCTCCCCTGAAACTTGGTCCAGATCCCAAATATCCCACTTGCCAATGCCACCCCTTGCAGCCACAAATGCACCCATTTCTTCTTCTTTCTTGAACCAGGCAACCATCTATGCACCAATATTGCTGCAAAAACATGGGTTTTTCTCATCTCCAATTCAAGAAAAAAGGGTTGGTTTTAAATGAACACATACATACCTTCTCCACTTATGAGAATGAAGCCAATAACCATCAACAAAGGATGCAGAATCTGTTAAGATGAAATTAAAGAAAATGAGAAGAGAAAAAGGCACAGAATCAGAAGTAAAAGTGGTGTTGATTAGATTACAGAGTAAATTAGGTCTCGTTGAGAGAGAGTGTGAGTAGGGAGGAAGCTGGTGGTGAAGTAGAGAGCCCAAGTGATGACGAGAATGGCGACAACAGTAGCAGAGACTCTGGTGAGTAAGAGGAGAGAGTCTGTGACTGTGGGTTTCATTGCTGGAGTGGAGAAGGTACCGCCGACACTTGTGGTTTCAGAGCCCTGCTTCTAGTTTTTGGTTGATGTGGTGGAAGAAAGTCAAGTGCTATCAAGTACAAGCAATTATTAACCATTATATTAATTACAATAATTATTTTGGATTTTTGTATTATTACTTTTTAAATTTTATTTATTAAAAAAATATATAGGAGTAAGGTCCCGTTTAGTTTTATAGGAATAGAATAAATTTCGATTTCAAATTCATTGTAATTTCATGTTTAGTTTGTTGTATTGTTCGGATTTGAAATCTTATGATTTAATTGAAATCTTATGATTTAATTGAAATCTTATAAACATAGGATTTTGAAATCTTTAAGAGGTGCTCGGAATTTCATGGGATTTCGTAAAATTGTATGAAATATAAGGGATTTCAAGGCTGCTTACCTAGGATATTATTTTAAGGGAATACAGGAAAACAAACATATATTTAGTATATACACACACACACATTTTACGATGATGAAGGAAACACTTGACCTTTTATTACGGTTTAGATTCTTTCTATAGTTATATACAAATGCCAAAGGTCAAACGAAAATCCTTTCTTTATTAATGTTTTTTAAACGTTTTATTGTGGCTTGGGTTCACGTGAGACTAAGAGTTTTTCATGAGACCCGTAAGATCAATTTATGTTCATTGATCAACTTTTTAAGTTAATGATCTAATGGTCTAAAGTTGCACGGTGACAATTTTGTGATTATTGAGAAGTCTCATGGCAATTTTGTGATTAGGAATGTTCAAATTATAGATCTAATCCAATGGTTGAAAATTGGTCTTACGAGTCTCACGAAAAACTCATGGTCTCACATGATTCCAAGTCTTTTGTTTTAATAATAAGTTTATAAAATATGTAAATTAATATAAGTTATAGAATTGGAAGAAAAAAAGCATAAACGGAATCATTAAAAAGCTTTTCGAAGTAATTTTTCAAAAAAACTAGCTTATGACTTAATAAACGAGTTTTTTTTCCAATAAAATTAAATACTTCTATTTTGACTAAACTTAAATCGGATCGTTTAAGGATTTTTAAAGTGTAACTAGCCTTACTTATCTTGATCCTTGACTGAAAATTCATAACTGTAAGCTTTGATTTAACGAGTCTCTTAACCGGTCCTTTTTCTAAACTGCATTTCTATAAAATTCCACTTTCCCAAATTTCCAACTTCGAAATACGCTTTTATTAACAAATCTATAAAACTTGATGTCATTTTGTCGTTCTTTACAAAATTTTATACATTTCAACCTTCATACCTAGAAACCGAGAGTTAGAGATCACGAAAAGATTCTTTTAGCTTCGTCTTTTTCTTCTTCTTCAATCTTTTAATCGAAAGCAGTATCATGATCGTTTCCACTTCTTCAATCTCTGTCCATAATAGGATCCACAAACAAATTGGAGGATGTTTTTATTATTGTGAGAAAAGGGTTGCTATTTATACCCCCTCACTCATATACCACTCATATTTCGTACACCTTCTTTACTTAAACCCTTTACATTTTACAGTTCTTCTCATTCACATACCAGTATTTTAAAATGATATGTCATTATAAAATTATCGCATGTCGATAGATGTAAAAAAAAAAAACTTTCAAAATTAATCAATTAGAGTAAGCATATATGAATTTTATAAATTTTGTCTGATTATTTGATGATTTTGAATAACCGTTACATGTAATATGAATAAAAAATATTGTTTGTGAAAAAAATTTAGTTAATTATTAATTTTTTTAATGATTTATCGAAATTCCATCATTTTATGAAACACAGGTATTATCCCTAGACAAGTTTATAAAATATTGGTAATTGTCTTATAATAATCTGTTAACACCCGTGACGATATATACAATATCATGACAGGTTTTTACATGCAAAACCTAACTACATACATTAAAAAACACACAACATACAAAAATTGATCATAATTACATAAAACAACTTAAACATGTTTCATACTAAAGGGAAAATTGTACCAAAATGGAACCAAATTTCACCTAATTCATATTTTGGGGAACCAACTTTTAAAATCGTCATTTTGGGGAACTAACTTGCACCTGATTCCTATTTTGGGGAACCAACTTTGAAAATTGTCATTTTGGTGAATCAACTTGCACTTGATTCCTATTTTGGGGAACCAACTTGCAAAATAATTATAGAAAAATAACTAAAATTCGTTTTTTTTCCAAAAATTAATGTAATAAAATCTATTTTTCATTTCAAATTTCATTTTTTTAATTCAGATATGAAATTGAACATTTTTTTAAAAAAATCCATACCACAATAAATTTGTTTTTTACTAATGCAAAAAAAAATCAATTTAATAGAAAAAAATTAATTGATGCAATAAAAAATAAATATTAAATATCGCATTCAAGATTTTTATATCTAACCAATTGCATCAATTAAATTTTTTTTATTAAATTGATTTTTTTTGCATTAGTAAAAAACAATTTTTATTGTGGAAGTATGGATTTTTTTTTTAAATGTTTAATTTGATATCTGAATTAAAAATAACGAGATTTCAAATGAAAAATAGATTTTATTGCATTAATTTTTGGAAAAAAACGAATTTTAGTTATTTTTCTATAATTATTTTGCAAGTTGGTTCCCTAAAATAGGAATCAAGTGCAAGTTGGTTCCCCAAAATGACGATTTTGAAAGTTGGTTCCTCAAAATAGGAATCAGGTGCAAGTTGGTTCCCCAAAATGACGATTTTGAAAGTTGGTTCCTCAAAATAGGAATCAGATGCAAGTTGGTTCCCCAAAATGACGATTTTGAAAGTTGGTTCCCTAAAATAAAAATTAGGTGAAAGTTGGTTTCATTTTGATACAATTTTCCCCATACTAAAATACCAAATACTAAATTACTAAACGAATGATGTTGTAGATTTGCACGAATAAAGGCGATTCAAGGTTCTCTGGATATTTAACAAACCCATCTACAAGTTCGATATTTTGAGTTTTTTGTAAATTCCAGTTGCATCGGAGTTGGAATCAATGTTGAGGTCGAAAGAGCTGTATCAGACATAAAAACAAGGACAATATCTCACTTTTCTTAACGATGTTTCATTTTTATTGTCGACTCGTTACCTTGTTTATTTAGTTGCATGCCTAAGAACAAAATAGTCACTTTCAACAACAAAGTTATTGATTGTGCATTCTTGACAAGAGTTATGGTATCATATATACTTGTAATATACTTGATTGATGAGAGTCATTTGGAAACAAATTAATCAATTAAAATATCATACACATATACCAACAATGGCTAATATTTTGGATTTGCTTCTAAAGGTTACTAATTCAAGTCCCCTCAAGACCATTATATGATTTGTTTGGATGTTTAATCCAGGGTCCATGAAATTAGTCGAGGTGCGTGTGCATACAAGCTGGCTAGACCCACACGATACCTAACGAGAGAGAGAGAGAGAGAGAGAGAGAGAGAGACGTTTTGTGAAGAAGTAAACAGTGGTACCAAATTAAAGGTCTTTGGCCTAGTTGTATATCGGTACAGTAGATACTACGGGTTCAAACCTCAAAAACACATGAGGATGTGTAAGTTAACATGTCGTATATAAATTTTATATACTTAAAAAAGTAATTTGTGATACGATTGTGCTTTTTACTAATACTATGATATTTGAAACCCTGATGTATATATTAAACCATTTTTTTTATTTAATTATGTATAAAATCAAATACTATAATGTTTTACAAGATGAAGAAATCATTGATTTCTTACAAACCATATAAACCAATCTTTGGTCGTCCATCTTAACTAGAATATTAGTTCCATAAATATATCGATGGTTTCCTAATTTAAAATAATGATCCCATAGATATCTCAACTATTTCATAATATATATGTGTTAATCAAGGTTTATATATACGGTTTGCAAGACTTTTATGGTTTGTATTTTGAACTCCACACACACATACATAGAGGAGCGATCAAATGCAAACCACGCAATTTGTACAAACCGTGCAAACCTCATTCAACCAATCATAATTTTTCATTTTGTTCATTTTTTTGTAAATTATGAGAGGTTGATTAATCATTTTTATTGTGGAGGGTGTTATTAATGGGTATTATCATCTCATTATTTTAATTTTAGAGAAATATATGAAATAGTTTCATTAAAATTTCATTAAGTATTATATAAAACAATTTCATAACTATATATGAAAAAAATTCATCAAAAAAAGTATTATATGAAACAATTTTACAAGATTAAACAATTTTATGAAAAAAATTCATAAAATTAAACAATAAAATTGACGGATGAGGGTGGTTTGTACAAATTGGGTGGTTTGCATTTGATCGCTCCTCTACATACACACACACACATATATATATATATATATATACATATATATATATATATGTGTGTGTGTGTATAGAGAGAGAGTCAGGTTCATACGAGAATAGTAATCAAATAAAAGAATAAGAAAACGGTCTAATCATATGCGATTTTACACTAAAATCACGTGTAAATCACATGTGATTCACACAATTTTAGCTGTGAGCTGAGGTCACAGGACTCATCCCTCACACAGCTTTGCGTTAAATGTTAGTGTAAAATCACATGTGATTTTGCACATGAATTGGTCATTTTCACGTTCTTTTAGTTGGTTATTGCTTTTGTTTGAACTTCCTTATTTGGCCGAACTCGTCGCCTACACACCCTTCCATCGTTGATCTGTAGTTGATAGCGTCACCCACTACTATTTGGCCGATGAACTATCAGTGACGACTTGATGCGTCGCTAATAAGACCCAGTTTTGTACTATTATGTATATATATATATATATATGTGTGTGTGTGTGTGTGTGAGAGAGAGAGAGAAAAAAAAAGAGATTAGCTACTATACAATATGTCTTTTTATACGGTTTTATAAAAATATTTTACCATCAAATGTATGGTCTAAAGTCTCTTGCTTGTATCTACTTGGACAAGTCATTGTTTGCGGGTACAATGAATTCTTGGAGAATCCAAATATTATTCAACTTTTTACTAAGGGAC